GCCCTGCGTTACGGCGGACAGCGCGGCCTCCCTCGCCGACGGCATCGCGGACACAGCAAAGTACGTCAACACAAGTTACACGCCCCTAAAATAAGCCCGTCTTTGCTTGAACTGCCTACAGAGAGGTAGTGACGGTGTTTACACCACCAACAGTTGGGATGAGGGCATGATCTTTGCTCTAAGGATTCCCACCTGCTGACCCACACCCACTGTGGGTTTTTTTCTCCTTTCTTTTTCTTTAGTGAGTCTTCAGAGGAAGAGTCCGCAGGGGAAAGGGAAGAGGAGACCGGCGCCCATGACGCCACCAGCAGCACCACGACTACAGAGGTCCCCGCGGGGCAGAGCTCAAACACACCAGCAGGTGAGTGCAGGGGGAGCTCCCGAGCATCCGGCGTTCACCAGGGCGGCGCTGGAAGAATTGCGATAAGCAGCATGCAGACGTACAATCAGACGACTTCGGTGTCATTTTTAGGAGCGTCCGTACAGATAGGTCGTGACCTCGCGTTTTATCCCATCTCTGTGCTCGCTGTAAATGCTGATGTTATCTTTTTTTCTCCTTCCTGAGGAAGTAGAGCAAACAGACGTGAAGGAACTCTGCGCTCTCTGGCAGAACGAGCTCCACTTCCCTTTTCCTGCCTTTAAACGGTGACATTCTTTCCCGTCTCAGTGAGTGAGGAAAACCCGGCACACGCGTTGCTCCGATCTGTTTATAACCACGAAAAGGGAACTGTGCACCATGACCCAAAGTTAATTGACATTCGTTATCATTCATGATTCTTAAAGACTTTATTAAAGAGGAACTCTTAACATGTAATAATAACTGCTGGTGGCTGTTTCATGAGAGTATTTCCAGCCCTGCTCTAAACGAATCATAAATAGTCATAAACCCTCCGTGTGACGCTGTTCTGCTGCACATTCAAACATCCTGCTGCAGTTTGTCTCTGTGTGAGAGCAGAACGTGGAGGCGGAGCTTCCCTGCAGAAACGATCACACATCGATTGGTTTTGTTGTCAGAGTTTTGGTGCGAGTCCTCGGCCTCCTACGATAATCGGAGATTGTTGGCAAACAGACGGTTTTATTTAAAGATGATCTGATCATAATTTTAACCAGGAAGTCCATCGGTACACTCGCATGGCGTGTTTATATTTTATTATTTATAAAGCTTTTAGAATAATACCACCTTCTTCTTTTTTTTAAAGAATGTCATATCTAGCCAAGCTGAAGCGATTGCTAACTCTTGGCTGTCACTGTGACTCATGCCAGCTCTGTTACCATTGGCTGAGACCAGTTTTGAGCTCGTGTGACTTTGCAGATTTATCGCAGGCCTGCAGCTGGATGTATCTCCATTAACACCTTAAAGGGTGTTTGTCGCAGTTTTCAAGGACGGCAGATGCGTACAGATCTATTGCCGAGGCC